ATAATAAATGTTACACCGTTATTTATCATTATTTTCATTAGAGTTATGGGCGACATACGATCGATCAATTATCCCCATGGAAATCTTAATCCAATTAATTGAGAAAGTATGTAAATAATTTATTTTTATTATTATTATTTTCATTGGTTCAAATCTTATGGATAAAAATATCTGTCAATTTAATACCGATCAGAAAAATCTCATATAATTTACTTTCTAAGCAATGGTAATAGTAAACCGTTGTAAAGTGCATTACAGTTACTATCTCGGATAATAAATGAAAAGATTTAAGATTATTTTCTTCCTTGCAATAGAATTTAAATTAATTTCTACGATATTATATCGTTTTTATATATCTCTCCAATGTGGTATTTATTTTTCTTTTAATTTATTAAGTTAACCACGTGAGTTAGTAATACGTGCTAAAAATGTGATCATATATATTTCTACATAAGTATTTCAATGAGATAATTCTAATAAAAATTATCTACGAATTAAAACGATTTAATTATTTTTAAATCTATCTATCTATCTATCTTAAACGATTTCAAATCAATGATCCATAAATAATATAATATAATGAATAATAAGATTTATAATAATTTACATTAAATCTATCTATCTATCTATCTTAAACGATTTCATATCAATGATCCATAAATATTATAATATAATGAATAATAAGATTTAATAATTTAAATTAAATTTATAAAATAATTAGGCAATAATTCGTATAAATTTTTCAATAAAAAATATTATACGTTGATTAAATTTATTATAAATAAAATTGGATAATGAAACATTTTCGTTATGATTATAAATCGTTAATTAAACGTAATATCACTCGATTACTTATAATGCAAGCTGTTAAATTACGAAAAAAAAATAAACTCGATCAGAGTAAGTTCACGAATGAAATCGAAGAAAAAAAGAAAGAAAAAAAAAAATATATATATAACAAGATAATAGATAATGATATTTTTTAAATTCCACATGGTATGAATGTCCACAATATAATTAATGAATGTTTTTCTTTTTTTTCATTTAAATAATCCTAAAAACGTAAATCAGAGAATACTAATGACGTTTGTGAATAAATGAAATAAAATATTCATAAACGATAAAAAAAAACATCACACGTTTCTCATGAAATTGCATTTTATTTGAATATAACATATGTATTACGTGATTTCACAAGAAATTCGTTAATTATACGAATATTCATTTTCGTTATTTCAAGTCCATTAAAAAAAAGGAAAAAAACAAAATAACGAAGTAACACATTTGTAACGCGTTTCAATCTGAGATAACTTTACTTTTACATTAATAAATATTAACTTTATTGATATATAACTTGCTGAAATCATCTTAATAATTATAAGCGATACAAAATAAATATATCACCCCGTATAAAAAAAATTATCATAACATTATAATCTCTTCTAAGTTTTCTCCTATGCAAAATAAATAATCATCACAATATATACCCCCTCCTTTTATGACATGCAAATTATTATAGCAAACATTTTGTTCATATTAATAATAATTAACAAGGAAATGATGTTGAAAGTATACAGAGTTATTGCCCCACCCTGTATACCCGCATACACATGCTTAAATTTAAAATATCAAGATTACGTGACATTTTTTCAATTCGGTATAAATGTTTATTTGTACTTTAATATTGCATAATACGAGTATATTATTATAATAACGAATTACCCTTTCAGAAGATTCACACGCGACACAAGCACCAAAATGTCGACGAAATATTTTTCGTCGATGCGAACGAACACTCACGATAATTTCCCGAAGAATCATTAATGAAATGTTCCTTCATTTCTTTTACGATTTGTTTTTTCTTTTTTGTCGATTATAGAGAATTCTCTGAAGAAAATAATCTTCCTAGCAACCGTACAACAAACTAACACTCCGATGACAAATCTAATCGTTATATTTTGAGTAATAAATAGGAATTTTGGTCAGGGTTGTTAGAGAGGGTTGTGGTTTCCTCTTCCCTTGGTTTATTTTCTATCTCCTTCTTTCTTCCTATTGTTCAATCCGATTGATCCGCGATGCCGTTACCGCCGTACACGGTGCTCTTGTGAATTAAATTTTACGCTCGTGCGACTGTTCCAGGATTAAATAAAATCAATAATGTAAGAGCTTAAAGTTTATAACACGTTGTACGATACTGTTGCATCGTTTAAAATCAATATTAACAATAAAAAAACCTAAATGAATATGATTTAAATGTCTGCTACAGTATTTGTTTCCAACCGAGTTGCACTGTCGGTAAGTTATCGACAACGAATAACTTTTTATAATCAATAATTCTTTTTTTGTTTTTTGTTTTTTTTTTTTTTTTTTTTTTTTTTTTTTTTTTCTATTAATGTCTATGGATATTTAATAAAAGTATAGAAAAATATGTAATTAATTTAATTTATCGTTATTTAATTTAATTAATTGTATTGAAAGAACATTAACAATTACAAAATATTTTCTTACCGATAGTGGTTTTTAATTATCAATTTTTTAACTATTTAAGTTCTAATCGTCATGAGATTGTTTGTAAATGGTAATTGGAAAATAAATAAAAATATAATAATGTAATAACATTATAATTACTTTACAGAATATGATCTGTCAATTATTCAGTTTTTTAATCGTATATTGCATAAAGTAACTTAAATCAGACCAAATCCTAATAATTAATAGAATATTTAATTAATACGTGTTACTCAAGAAATATCGAAAAATTATTTGTTTGCCTTTTTCAAGAGTTAATCGATAATCATTTTAATTGATATATGCCAAATAAAGAATTCTGTACGATTATTAAGAGCCAACTCAGCATGTTTCCTTTGTATTTTTTGTACAATGGGTATACATAAGGAACATCAACGAGAAAATAATCTATAAATAAAAAAAAAAAAAAAGCAATTTACGTTATTTCTCTTACAATAAAATTTTGTACTTCAGTCAGAGACACGATGATAAGTCGAATGTGTGAAAAAATAAACAATAATTTAGAAAATTTCTAGAAATATACAAAGTTTATAATAATAAGTGTTATACATTACATCATTATTTTAAAACATTTTTGATTAGTGATTTAACAACTAAACTGCTTATAACATTTATAATAATAAAATATATTAAGTTTGGTGGTATGTATTTATAATAAAATAACATTATAAATTAATTCTAACAAACCAAATAAATCCAAACAAAAATTAATTAAAAAAACCCTAACACAATCCTGAATTATCCCTGATTGTTCTTATTATTAAAACTGATCATTTATTTAAAAAAAAAAGCATTGATAAATAATTATATAATATTTATAATAAATAATAATATTCATCGTATTTTTAAAAACAACAAAGATATTTAAAATATCAATGTTAGTTGACTTAGCTTGTGTATGTAATATATATACCAATCATTTATTCAATAAAATTTTGATGAAAAATATTGTAAAATACTGATCGAATAAAAATTATAATCAAATAAAACGACGTCTGTGTTTGAACTCGGAAAGTCATTAAACAAATTGATCAATTTTCTTCATTTTTCCACTTTTGTCTTTGAAATCCCATTGGATTATCATTAATGGCCATTATGAGACCAACATTCAATCAATTAATTTGTACGAACGACAAAAAAAAAATAGATAAAAGTGTTCTTGCGATTTTTATCTGGGTCAATTTATTTTTATTGGATAGTTTCTACGGGGGTGCAAAAGAAATAAATCGAATCGACTTTTACAAGAAGATCTCCTCCAGTTTCTGACCAATCGCCTTCTGATATAGTTCACGTTAACGTTATTGTTGGAAAAACAAAAAAAAAAAGAATTCTCCTCGCGTTGTGATTGTTAAACAATACACTTGTTCGTATTCAATCAAAATAATATAATAACGAGAGTGTTCAATCTTACAGAAAATCTTCATTTTGGTGCTTCTTTTTTTTTATTAAATTGGTAACATCATTGTGTCGTACATATTTACATAAATAAATATATTCTGTTCTATACGATCGATTAATCGAGGTAAGTCAAGTGAAAATATACAATTCGTTAATTTACAAATAAAAAAGAAAAGAAAAATAATGATCGTATACACGTTTATATATATATATTAACACTTTAACGACCGCTCACACAACACCAATCCAGTCGAAAGATTAACTGGAGGAATAAAACATCAATTAGTTAAAATATCGGAAATAAAAAAGAGTGTACGAAGGGATTGCCATGGTTTGCTATGCAAATTAAATTAGAAAACCTACTTATTTTTCTGTGTAAGACATGTAAAATACCATTACATGTAGGTGATTGTTTTAATAATTATCGTAAAAAGGAAATATATTTAATTTCTTTATAATTTATTTAAAAAAATATTAAAATTTTTGTTGTTTTTTTGTTATTATGTTAATTTTATCGTGAATTTAATAAAGTTCTTTAAAATGAATTCTTCAAAAATACTGCCGGCCCCCCTGGCGACGTTTGACTGCGTATACGTGCGGTCGTTAAAGTGTTAATACGATTAATACAAATCACTGAATAAGTTTAAAATGTGATAAATATTGCTACAGTTTGTATTAAAAAAATGATCGATAAACTATCGACCTATCTCTTTGAAATAAGTATAATTTATCTATCCTTCGGTTTAATCTCTAATTTCAGAACAACACACGCTAAGCGAAATTATTAATTTTGATGGGCAGCTGAGAACTAAGGTAAATGATTGGTTGTATCTAATCGATGTATATACACGTGTACAACGTTAAACGAAACAGATTTCTCTAATAAGCGAGTTCGATATTTCTTTTGGTTTAACGTGTGGTCGTTAAAACCGTGTGGTGTGTTAAAAAAAGAAAGAGTGTTCGAAGAAATAAAAACCAAAAAAAAAGGGGTTAAAAAGGAAAAGAGAGAAAGAACCCCCCAAAAAAAGAAAAACAAAAAGAAATGAAGACTATTTTGTTAATGCTTATGACTTTTTCTTACGTCTTCGCAAACATTTGTGTTATGCCATCGCCGTTAACGTTACAATTAATAATCGAGTATACTAAATGGAGATCGTGGGATCAGATAGTACTTTTTGATAACCTCAGTCCCAAGAGTGAGTATGATGCAAACTTAATTTTTCTAAGAACAAACAAAAATTTCCATATACTTTGTACTCTTTCGCGACTGAAAGAAAATTTATTGGATTTTACGTGGAAAAATTTGTAATGAGCCGATATATATATATATATATATATATATAGTCTGATTAATTTAATGATAAACTAT